TTCTTTCGAGATCGACTAATGTGAGAGTCGACACCTTTTTAGGTTCGTAAATTATTCTTACAAGTATAGGTTATAAGACTTGTTCATACCACAATCGAAGTGCGAAATGTCGATTCTAAATCCCGGTTTGTATCATTTTTCTTGTTCGTAATCTGTTTGGATTTCGACCGATGATCATTTTCTGAACATCGAAATGTATTCGGAAATGGTAGATCTCGGAATTCAGTATGTTATCGACAATCATTACGCCATCTTAGATTACAAATGTGCACCAAAATATAGTTCACGAATTGAAAACGATCTTGTGTTGAATACAATTTTCTTAAGATAAATTTGTCTGTAACAGAACTAGAACTATAACGTAAAAAGATATTCATCGATGAATATGTGGAATAATGTTTATAACCGGAAAGTAATAAACACAATCCAACATGTTTGTTATAAAAGGTAAGCATGGCTTATGGCATGATTCACTTTTCTAAAATGGTCAATGAAACATGTGGTTATATATAAGTATTTTTAATTTACTAGAAGGATGATCGTACAAAATAACGAGATACATCAAGATAAAATTTCGGTTTTATTTTTGTCTCTGTCGATATAATACGGTTTTATGTGATTTTGAGAAAACAATAATGTTTTTATTCATAAAAATTTGAAAAAAAATATATATCAATTTAGTATCAAATTAATTTTCTAAAAATTCTCGTTTTTTTATGTAATTTCTTTAAATTAATTTTTTATCATAATTTAATTTATGTTTAATAACAAAGTAATTTATTTTCTGTTCAATAATATAACTAGTGTTCGACATTGCACGTTGTGCGATGATACAAATTTATGTAAAAATAATGTGACGTTTGATTTTAATGAATATTTTAAATAAAATATCATAATATATTTCATACATCTATTATTTTTCTTTTATATATATAATGATCTTCAATCTATCATTTTACCCATCAATATGAATAACAAAAACATCACTACAATTGAATATTTTTTATACTTAAATCTCATAATATTATTTCATGCCCTACGATCTTCATTTTATATGTATACATATATAGATATAGATCTTTACATAGAAAGATTCATCCAAAAAGTAAGTTATAAACTATAGTTTTTATTATTGACATTTGTCAACAGTATGCCATTTTTGTATTTAATTAAATAATTTGTGTGTGATATATATTCTTTTTGCAAAAGAATGGTCGGTCAAAAATTATATTTTAGGGGACTAATTTTTTTTAAAGAAATACACTCTTTTAATATACCATATATATATATATAAATTGTGTATTCAATTATCTTCTCATACTTGTAAGATAACAAAAATCATACAACAATTCAAGAGATTACTTAAATCTCATAATATCATTTCATACGTCGATTTAACAAAAAGAAATTGTAAAAGAAGGTTGTCAAAAGATAACCAAAATCACAACATACTTCATGATTTTAAAATACTTAAATCTAATAAAGATTTTTTTATTTTTTATTTTAAATAATTAATTTTTTTTTTGCTAAAAGAGGGTTGGCCAAAATGAGTCAACCCCATGAGCTCCGAGGGTCGGTCAAAATGAGCCAACCATGTGAATTTAGAGGATCAGTCAAGATGATCTAATCCCATGAGTTTCTACAAAAATATCTCAACCTCCCTTCATATACCCGCCATTGATTGTAAATCTTTCATATCTCCATCATTGTGGATATACAGAACTCAATCACAATTCAAGAAATGAAAAATACTATATTCTTAATATGTTACTTCATTCATTGTAAGTTTTACTCTAAGATATATAAAGATAAAGATAAAAATTACTAATTGGTTTTACTATCCGGTTGACTTTGATTTCAACCATGATTTTTCATTACTATAATTCTCATATTTAGAGTTATTTAAATTTAAATTATATATTTTCATTGATATTTTTTCTTGTAACGAAAAGAATTTCATATATTTTCTATTTTTTTATGCAAAAATAATGTTTTGACATTAAAATTGTTCAAAAATGTTTAGTTGCAAGCAAATGTGCAATATTAACTGTTATTATGAATGTACACAAAATTAGTCTTTCCAATTTTGCATTTTAGCTTATAATGTTTGTTTTGCTACTTAATTATTAACGGATTCTGAAATAGATTGCACATAAAAATTACAATTAACACCACTATTCAAATTTTGAAAGTACTAAAATCTCATAAATCTTTAGTTGTTCTTTTAGCATATCATTGATCATAGAATATGCAATTTTTTAATTAATTTCTTTTTAAGTTGCTAGAAAAATTGAGGTCGGCCAAAAAGGAACTTTGTAAATTGTCATAAACCCTTTTAATTTATTTAGTTAAAACATATATGTTTCAATATACGGGTTATTCTAAATAAGGTTAAATTTGATAACCATAAGTTAGTTTATTTTTTAAATTTATTAAGAAATCTCTTAAAATAAATATAAGAATATATTTGTAAAATTGATTTTTTTCTTTATTTCTCCTCTGTTCAAGAATACTGAAACGTTATTTTCTTTAAAACAAATATAAATAATTTTTTCTTTTTTAAAAAAATAATAACACAATATTTCATCATAAATACATGAAAAATTTATCGAAAAATATAAAATATTTATTTTAATTAAAAAAATAATAATAATTAATAAATCAAAGCAACATTCAACCACCCCATCCTCGCGCGAAAATATTCAATGGTCTCACATATTCCCATAGGCTTGCTGTCATATCATTGTAGCCCAATTCCGATTCCTGAATTCCAAATTTTCAATTCCAATTCCGATTCCAATTTCAATTTTGATTCCAGTCCCCACCAACCACTATGTAATCCAAGCACACTGACTCACCTTTCCAAAATTTCATAGTTTTATTGCATCGAGGGCAAAGATAACGACCCTCCCCTGCCCTTCATAAACCCCCAATCCACCAATTTCTGAAATCAGAACTCAGTTTTTGCTAATGGCGATGGAAAGAACATCGGCAAGCATTGCAGAAGAATACGATCTGCAGAACGGCAACGGAGGAAAGAGGAGCACGGAGGCGATGGAGATGGAATCGACCGAGAGGATATTCGAGAGCAAGAAGGTTCCGCCATGGCAGAACCAGCTGACAGTTCGTGCATTTGTCGTGAGTTTTATTTTGGGGATTCTGTTCACGTTCATCGTCATGAAGCTTAATCTCACTACCGGAATCATTCCTTCGTTGAACGTCTCCGCCGGACTGTTAGGGTTTTTCTTCGTGAAAACATGGACGAAATTCCTCGATAAATCTGGTATGTTGAAACAGCCATTCACGAGGCAAGAGAATACTGTTATTCAGACGTGCGTCGTCGCCACCTCCGGCATCGCATTTTCCGGTACGTTCAATCGATTTATCTCTCTCCCTCTCTCACACACACACTTGAATTGATTCCTTCATGAATTTTGTATTATTATTTCGATTTCCCACTGGACAAATCTGAAATCTCTGGCTTATCACATGTAACCAAAAGTCAAAACAACAATAAAAACAAATAATTGAAGTGGGACATGAATTCATGATGAACACCCAATCTTCATACAAACCAATAATTCGAAATTGAATTTGATTCAGAATTCGATCGAGTTCACACTCGAGCTGAATTACAAACATGTAACACCATCTTCAACAATATTTCTAAATTAAAAAAAAAAAGGTTTTTGTTTTTTAAAATATTCTAACACCTTTGCTATCTAGTCCATACTATCTTATAAATCTATATTATCTTATAAATCAGATTTATTAAAAGTCATAAAAATAATTTTTATGCATAAAATCTTAAGAGTCTTAAAAACAACTCATAATGCATTGAGTACTACTACTTTATGCATTAAGTTTTAAAATCTCTTAATCTACAATTAAAATAACATATAGTGCAAATTACCAATGCACATTATTACCTTTTCTTTTCATGTTTCCAAGATACTTTTGACACATTTTACTCATGTCTTCACCCTCTCGTACTTCTATGTCTTCAACCTATCCCTAAGGTGAGATTCAAACTGATATTCACCATGAGTTATTAAAAGTTCTTTCATTCAGTTACTCTAGAACTCTCGGTCTCGTTCTCGTTCTTGATCTCTTGATTCTTTGCTATTGATGTAAATCAAACACATTTGTGGAGTCATTTAAATATGTTGGATTTTAAATATATTGGATTTTAAACCGTCAATACACTTTTTTTTTCCATCGATAGATTGTAATTGGAACCATGACTCTTATTTATTTAAATTATATTAATATCTAAAGACCAAATGTAACTTATATCATCATTAAATTTTCTTTAATAAAAACAGTGAAACTTCAAAATCGTTAAAATTTACGGATCCCGCTAAATTACGCAAGTACACAACTAGTTTTCAAAAATAAAGAATCATGAAAATATAAAGAATTCTCAAAAAATTGATGGTGAGAGAGAAAAATAATCATTTTATTCAATTCCACCAACGAAATTGAGTTATTATTATTTTTTAAAAGTTTTTCTAAAGTGTTTTGAAATATTAAGTTAGAGAATATTATAATAATATAATTTATGTTAAAATCTCTAAAATAAAGAATCTGTTGGAGATAAATGTAATTATTTTTAAAAATTTATGTTTTGGTTATCTATTTTAAAAAAAATTATAGAAAAACTGTTAGAAATGCTCTAACAAAATGAGTTGGAGACTTTGGCTCGAATTTTTCTTGAGCTTTGGGTACGTTAAATACTATCTATGGTTTTTGCAGGGTATCTTGGGTCGAGTTTGTTTTATCGGACATAATTTTGATCTATTTTTTGGATTGAGTTTGTTTTATCGAGATCATTTATGATTGATGTTTTCAAATTATCCAAGTTTCATCGAGAGATTGAGATCATCTTAGTAGGTTTATTTATAATTTCTCTTAAAATTAGAAGAAAAAAAAGTAAAAATCTCAGAAATCTGCATTCTCTTTTCTACTTTCTGTTTTAGAAAAGCCATCGAAGTAAAAACGAACTTCAAAATATTTATTTTCATTTATTTTAAAGAAGCTTTTGAAAATGCTCTAATATAACCCAAACCATGAAATTAAACACTTATAACCACACACGCTTGTGGCCGAAAAATATCCACAATATTGAGTCTACATTTTAGATATGGTTTTATTTTTTATTTAACTGTCAACTTAAGAGTCCACATAATTGATCGATATGTATATAAATTGTTTAGAAAAAAGGTTTTAATATTTGATTTAAATTGTGAAGTAGAAATTCCACACGCCGATTTCGTTGAACAAAGCTATGTATGTATACATCTTTTCCACAAATAGTAACAGTCTTTTCCTAGCCATTTTTGTCGTTTTTCATAATTAATGCCTTAAATTTTTTAATATAATTTGTTTGAATATTATATATATTTAAAAAAAATTAATTAAAAAAATTATTTTAATCGGTTGGTTTTCGCCTTGACCGTTTCTCTTTATAAATTATATAAATGTCATTCTCTTCGTAATTTTCACGTCTGTAAATTAAAAGACAAAAAAATTCATTTTTTAATCGGATGTGTGTGAAAAAAGTAAACTTTTGTAGCGGACATGGGTGGAAATGTAATTTTTTTTACGAAGGTAGGTGAAAAATATAAATTATTTTGTCGTTTAGTTAGGTTCGTAATTCGAAGAAAGTGATATTTGTGTAATTCTTAAAAAGAACTGATTAAGAGGTGAAAACCATATGGTTAAAATGATTATTTTGATTAATTTTAATTGTATGTTCTTAGTTAGTGACACAATTGTGTATAGCAGATTTAAAGCAAACTACAAATTTGGTCCATGTGGGTTGTTAAAAGTAAAAAATTTCACTTTTGTAGTTTTAAAATTACAGGATAGCCATTGTGGTTTGTAAAAACGTCTGGAGTTGATCCATTTATCTAGCAATCGTTACAAAAAAAATTAAATAAGAGGCATTTTTGTACTTTTATCGATTTTTTTGTCCTTTACCTAATCAAAAACCATAAAATCGATAAAGGAACAAAAATACCCTTTATTTCACAAAATCTTTTAACAACCGTTAGATGGAAGGATCAAATCCAAATATTTTTACAAACTATGATGGTTATTTTGTAATTTTAAAACTATAAAGATGAAAAGTGTTACTTTTGATAAACCATAAAGACCAAATTTGTAGTTTACTAAAAAAATTTAAAAAAATAATTGAAAATTTGTCTTATTATTATCACTTAAAACCATATAAAATTAATAAAAAAACAAAAAAGAATATAGATGAGATAAGGTTATGAGTGAAATTAAAATCTTGGCACTAATATAGGCGTGGATGGGGGACATCTATGGTGTGGTCCAGATTCCATCATCCAGTTAACTTTAAAGTTGACCACACGCCATCCATTGCTTTTGTTTATTTATTATTTTAATAGGTGATTTATATTTTCTTTCATCTATATTTTCTTTCATCATATCTTTCCAAACGAATATGTAATAAAATATGTGCATGGATTTATAAAGTATTCATTAAAATAATTTAAAAAATATATCACTTATAATGTTCAAATTTTCACTATAATATTTCATTTAAATAATAATTATTAAAAGAAGTTAATTGTCATCAATTATATTCGGTTGGTAGTGTTGTATCAAATATGCAAATTTTGTTGGTACACGATATTGAAAGTCGCATACCACGGTGAGCTCTTACACAGCGCCTTATAGGGTAGCTAAACTATAAAGACTGGATTTCGACACCGGGATCATGTCCGGGGCAAGACTTAGTACCATGATATCGACTAATTTAATTATTCATTATTTTTTGAATTTTTTATGTATTAAAGATTAAACTTTGTAACTTTAACTATTTTGTTTGAACATTTAAATGCAAAAACAAGTTAACTCAAAAATTGAACATAATGACAAATTTCATATATGTAACTTGAATAAAAAACCAATACCAACATATACCAACCGAAAAAAATTGGTACTAATGAAGTTAGTACGGAGTACAGTTAATTGGTACATGATATAAGATTTTACATACTAATTATAATTACTTGATATACAATATTGGAGAAAAAAGCTTGATGCCGTACCAAGCACACCCTTACTTATTTGAAATAACAGTTATTTATAAAAACTTGGGATTAAAAATATGTGAGAATAGTATAAAATTAAAAACACCAAAGTACAATTATATAAATTGGAGTGTGGTGGTAGGGCCTTTTCTATGCCACTTCCTTGACTTAATTATAAATCGAATCACTTAGTTGGCATTTGGTATCTATGAACGTGTTCAAATCTATTTACTCCAAAATCCACAAATAAATAAATAAATATATATATATATATATATATTATTAATAAGCATTTAGACTTATATCTTAAGTACAAATCTTAAAACATATAGTACCAGCATTTTATGCAAGAATTCAAAAATCTTTTAATTACAAAATATTTTGCACAATGTACAAGTTTAAATATATGGGTTTAGCAACTCAATATGTGTGCAATTATTTTTCCAATTGATCTTACTAATACATCATATTAACCATTAACTTTAAATATTAGTTGACTTGTAAAATAACCACAGACACTCATGATAAAAGGTTAAACTAATGTTTCAAAATTATGATACAACACGGATACACCTCTAGTGTGTGCATGTGTGTATATATATATATATATATATATATATATATATATATATATATGAGAGAATTTGTTGGAGATGAAATTAATCTCTTTGTAAATTTTGACTTTTTTTTAAAATTTTAAAAAATTTATTAGAGATTCAATAGTCATGAAAGAATCTGAATAGGTGACTTTTAGAGAGTAAACTCAAGTTGATGGACTGGCTTTTAAAATTAAAAAAAATAAATAAATACATGTAGAAAATAAAATATGGTTTATAGGGCTTCAAACGTCTTTATCTTCAAGACTTTTAAGATACATGTCCATACGTTAGGTTTGACAAAATGGATAGACCACACCAGTTGGGCATAGATGACGAGTTAAATGGACCCTTTTTCTTTTTAATTGCATTTTTTTAATTTTATTGGTATACTTATTTTATTAATACAATATAATTTAAATTGAATTAATCTTGTAGGCGTATGCCTGGTATGGTCAATACTTATATTTTCAGTTTTTACTTTCGAATTATGTAAGTAAGACTTGTGATTCATGGTTATGGGAATGATTGCTAGAAATAAACAATGAACGGTTACGAAAATAGAAACAGTTGCCGGACTGATGGGAAATCCCATACACCGATGTATATCAGCTGAAAATTATAAGTCGAATACCATAAGCTCATGACTTGGTTGTGGTCACTATAATAAATTTAACTCTATAGGACGCTTAGAATGTCTAAACTTTCTAATAGAATAATTTATAGAACTTAAATTTATTAAACTAAACTATAAATCGTCCATTCTAAAAGCGTTACAACATGTTTATATGATAGTTTAGACATTTTAACAAGTTTTTTTATGATGCTTTTAGAATCAAATGTCTTATTAGCTATTTTATACTACACTTTTGAGAAGTGTTCTATAAATCCATCTTTTTATGACGTACGTGTTTATTAGACATTTTTTCAAATAGTGTCGTATAAATTAGCTAATATAACACTTTATTTTAAAAGCGTCTTAAAAAACTTGTTAAAACACCTAAAACGTTCTATAAACTTATCATAACACTTTTAGATATAACGCTTTTTGGTTTGGTTTTATAAACGTAACTCCTATAAAAGATTTTATTAGAACGCTATACATTTTAGGCATCCTATAAAACCAATTTAATTGTAGTGGGTAACATATCAGCTTATAATTCATTATAGTGGGAGCCAACATGTTTGCATGACTATTAACTTTAAGATCTCATATATAGGATTAGTTGAGGTGTGTGTAAGCCGGAACGAACATCCAAAATCATCCAAATTTTGGTGGTGTATTAAGGGCATATCAATGGATCCTTTTTATGGTTTTATTTCAATGGCATTGATGAACTTCAAATAAATGTTTTCTAACTTTCACAGGAGGGTTTGGGAGTTACCTCTTTGGCATGAGTGAACTTATTGCAAAACAATCAAATGAAGCAAACTCAGCACARAACATCAAGAACCCTTCTCTTGGATGGATGATTATATTCCTTTTTGTTGTTAGCTTTCTTGGACTCTTCTCTGTCGTCCCTCTTCGCAAGGTACACCACCATATCTACATTTCGTTCGTAGTCTCTCTCACACACACAATGAAAGAGAAAACAAACGACCCCAATATATCCCACCAGAAAATGGGATTGGGATGCGGGGTAAGATGCACGCAAAACTAACATCTCCCACTAGTTAGAAGTGTGCAAAAGAGAGAGAGTTTCCCAATGAAATAAAGGGAATACTAGAAGGTGAGGGTTCGTTGGGAAATATGCAACTGACGTGTGAGAATAAGTAGAACCCTATCATGATACTTTCCAAAAAAGCCCTTGAGAAGATAAAGGGAATCTAACATAAATTAAGGCGAAAAGGGTTCAAGTGTAGCTGATATGAAACTCTAACACACTTTCTCCAATCAAATGTCGAGTCTTGGGTACAACACGTAAAACCCCATCATCAGATTACTCTAAAAAGAGCCCCTAAGAGAACAGGGTTCCAACATATATCGAAAATAAATGGTCAAAAAGTTTAGCTAACGTGTGATTCTAATAAATCTACCCGACCTACTTGTTGCAGATAATGATAATCGACTTCAAACTGATTTATCCAAGCGGCACAGCCACGGCTCACCTTATCAACAGTTTCCACACTCCCCAGGGTGCCAAGCTAGCCAAGTAAACCCGCCATTTTCTTTTTCTTTGAAGGATATTATATTTCTATACAATAAACACTAACACACACTCTTCACCATTTGGTGAGGTTYGAGCCTTTGACCTATTGGAAGGCTGCCCGCTACTGGTAATTCAGGTAACCGTTAGGCCTGGTACCAGGTATACCAGGTACCGACCTATTGTGGGTGGCTGGGCTCTAAGTATTTTAGAATTTTGTTGCTGATTTCTTAAACCTTCGCCACAGAAAACAAGTGAGGACTCTAGGAAAATTCTTCTCCTTCAGTTTCCTATGGGGGTTCTTTCAGTGGTTCTTTACCGGCGGAGACGATTGTGGATTTGCAAGTTTTCCTACACTTGGTCTTAAGGCCTTTGAAAACAAGTATGTGAATCTTTTCCTTTTTCTTTTCTTTTCTTGATTCTTGATCTAACAAACATCTTTCTTTACTGTCGAAAACCAGGTTTTTTTTCGATTTTTCGGCAACTTATGTTGGTGTTGGCATGATCTGCCCGTATCTGATCAATGTATCGTTACTCGTTGGAGCGATCCTTTCGTGGGGTGTAATGTGGCCTCTCATTAACGAGAAAAAGGGTGAWTGGTATTCTGCTGACCTCAAATCTACCAGTCTTCATGGCTTGCAAGGTTACAGGGTAAGATTATGGTTGTTTGTTCAAAGATACTTTCATATCTGCTAGATTCGGACCATCAAATCTATATATATATACACACGTAGGAACCACTTCCATAGACTCCTTCCGGATTTTCTTTTCTTCCTTTTTTTTCCAAATATCCTAACACTTGTAAGTAACGTTATCCCATTGAAGGTGTTCATCGSTATAGCAATGATCCTAGGTGACGGACTCTACAACTTCGTAAAAGTCCTTGGTCACACTTTGTTCGGCTTATACCACCAATTTAGTGATCGGAAATCCAAAGATGACATCCCCGTTACCAGTAATTCTTCGCCTGATCTTCTGTCCCTATCTTACGATGAGCAAAAACGCACCCGACTCTTTCTCAAGGATCAGATTCCGATGTGGATCGCAATTGTTGGCTATCTAACCATCGCCATTGCCTCTGCTGCTACTCTTCCACACATCTTCCAYCAGCTCAAGTGGTATTACATTGCTGCGATTTACGTATTTGCCCCCGCRTTGGCATTCTGTAACGCTTATGGATSTGGGCTCACYGACTGGTCCTTGGCATCAACCTATGGAAAGCTCGCAATCTTTATAATCGGAGCTTGGGCTGGCGGCAACAATGGCGGAGTTCTAGCTGGGCTAGCCGCTTGTGGGGTCATGATGAACATYGTCTCAACCGCATCCGACTTGATGCAGGATTTCAAGACTGGCTACATGACTTTGGCTTCACCCCGGTCTATGTTCGTGAGCCAAGTGATYGGAACCGCAATGGGCTGCATCATCTCTCCATGTGTCTTCTGGATCTTCTACAAAGCCTTCGATAATCTCGGAGTTCCAGGTTCYCAATATCCCGCACCGTACGCTCTCATCTWYCGAAACATCGCAATCTTGGGAGTCGAAGGATTTTCTGCATTACCCGAACGATGCCTCWTGCTTTGCTGCATATTCTTTGCTTTCGCTATCTTYGTTAATGGCATTAGAGACGGAGTGGGAAAATCGCGAGCACGGTTTATTCCGATTCCGATGGCGATGGCGATTCCGTTCTATMTCGGAGGTTATTTCGCGATTGACATGTGTGTTGGAAGCCTGATATTGTACATTTGGTCGAAGATCAATAAAGCAAAGGCAGCAGCATTTGGGCCAGCGGTTGCTTCAGGTTTGATCTGYGGTGACGGAATCTGGACRTTACCGAGTTCAATACTSGCTTTGGYGGGTGTTMAACCTCCGATTTGCATGAAGTTTCTTTCGAGATCGACTAATGTGAGAGTCGACACCTTTTTAGGTTCGTAAATTATTCTTACAAGTATAGGTTATAAGACTTGTTCATACCACAATNTTCTTTCGAGATCGACTAATGTGAGAGTCGACACCTTTTTAGGTTCGTAAATTATTCTTACAAGTATAGGTTATAAGACTTGTTCATACCACAATGGAAGTGCAAAATGTCGACTCTAAATCCCGGTTTGTATCCTTTTTCTTGTTCGTAATCTGTTTGGATTTCGAGTGATGATCATTTTCTGAACATCGAAACGTATTCGGAAATGGTAGATCTCGGAATTCAGTATGTTATCGACAATCATTACTCCATCTTAGGTTACAAAATGTGCACCAAAATATAGTATAGTTCACGAATTCAAAACGATCTTGTGTTGAATACAATTTTCTTAAGATAAATTTGTCTGTAACACAACTATAACTCAAAAAAATATTCATCCATGAATATCAGCATAGCAGATATTCGTCGATGAAAATGTGGAATGTTGTCTTTGTCCAATACAACGAGATATATCGAGATAATGTTTTTTTTTTTTTTTGTCTCTGTTGATATAATTCGATTTTATGTGTTTTTAAGAAAACGATAATGTTTTTATTCATAAAAATTTGAAATATATATCGATTTTCGTATCAAATTAACTTTTTAAAAATTCTCATTTTTTATGTAATTTCTTTAATTTTAATTTTTTTATCTTAATTTAATTTAGGTTTAATAACAAAGTAATTTATTTTTAATTTAATAATATAATTTTTATATTATCCTAATTATATTTTATATTTTTTATACTTAAAATGAGATATTTATCCTGTAGTTGATTATGTTTATCTGCAGTTAGTTACACAAATTCAAACATAGCTTTAATAATTTGTACTTACGCACAGTTTACTTATAATCTTGAATTTTTAAGTAATATGCATTAATAAACAATACTTCATGCATAAAAAATTGTTTTTAGGAGTTTTTGTCAATTATTTTATAATATTGTATAGATATAATTTGTATTCCTAAGTGTTATGTTATACAAAATCGTACGTGAAGAATCACATGATAAGGAAAGTTACAAAAGCGTAAGAAAAAATCTGAACTTTTGGTCATTCTTAATCTCATGTCGACCAATGAATTACGTTTTAGAAGAGAATTGATCTGATGTATTTTGATGTACCATATTAGTGTTAACATTCAATTAGAATTTGATTCAATGATGGAGATCTTTTCTTACTGTAATTTTTTTTTCTTACTGAAACTCAACCCTATAATCATCACATTACTATATTTGATCATGTATACAACTATATTTAATTGTTTATATTGACTTATTCCGGTGTAGTGTAGCATCGGTAATAAGCATTTTTGAATATTTGGATAAACAACTTATATCGGTGTCAAACCGGTAATAAGGCGTTTTTGAAAAAGTTAAACTCTTCTGACTTATAATAAATTGATAAATGTTTTGTAAAAAAATATAAGTTGTTTCAAATAAGCAATCTCACACACCCCATAGTATCATATATTTCTAATTGAATTGAAAAAAAAAAAATTAATGTATATATTATTAATTTTTGGCAATTTAAAATATTTTAGATTTAAAAAAATGAGATATTTGTTTTTTAGTTCTAATAAATGAGATATTTGAATAAAATATACATCATAAAAATTTTAAAAAATATAAAAGCATAAA